GTTTTTCTTAAAAACATGGTTACTGGTTAGATACCTAATTTATAAGACAGCGCTTACTTTTTCCGCCTTCGTTTGTATTTTACAGTATTACGTGTAGATAAAGCAGATGGCGTGACGTTAAACTGTATTATAAATTTTTTTTTTTTGCATTAAGCTCGGTGTGAGTATCTATTACATCCTATGCTTTTTCATACGAATGTTCATATAAATGTCCAGCACCGCTACAGTATTAATAAACAAGCCACCTAGCAGAAGCATGCAGTGATGGGCAAATTAACCGCATACTGCTGGAGCAAAATGCATTAAAGCAAGTGTTTTTAGTTCGCCTCAATATGTGCATGCAGTCACAGCAATGCACCTACAGTCCGTAGTTGTCAAAAGTCAAAAACTCCTTCCTCTCTCGCTCTCAGAGCGAGACAGAGACACATCTTCAGTCTAAGATACAAATTGTGCAAGACCCGCATCTTCAGCATGTCTCCACTACAAAAAATTTCTGTCATCCCAACACACTGTCTGCAAATACCTTGAATATCAAGTTCGTTCGGAAGCTGACGTGTGGATCCTCTAACTCTAACTGCACACACATGAGATGGAAATTTGTAACCCTGCTCATGCTCGTTGGCTGAATGCCCATGAAACTGGTGCTTGCATACAAAAGGTGCATGAAAAATGTGTAAAATTGCCTGCTGATGAATCATAATAAAAACCTTAATATATTGCAACACTTTTGAGTAAAATCAAAACGTCAGATTCCTATGGTCTTTGGATTTTTTAAAAATTGATTAAAATTGACTGAAAAATGCAAAAATTCATACCCGTGGTGACAAATAGTTGTGGAAGAAAATTGACTTTTAATACAATTTTTTTACAAATATTTGCTATTAAAATTAATAGAAAAATAAGGCAGATATTAAAAGAATACGGCAGTTACACCCGATTTTGCCTCTGTGAGGGATAACACAGGCTGGAACGCACCAGGCGAGCCGGTGCTATCATGCGCTTTTGCATCAGACTTTGAAATACAGTCTCTCATAGAGGAAGAATAGGGAAGAAAGAAGAAAGTTTCACATTACGCCACCATTCAGCTGAGGGTTGGGTTTGATCATTTACTCGAATCGACGAATTAACGGCCCATCACCACCCCACACATTGACCGGGACAACTTCAACTTCCTAGCTTTCGCAGTTCTGGAGGTGAGGTGAACTAGTACACCCCTCGTTTCCAATTACCACTGCATTTCGCTGTTTCCCTCTCCTCCCCCCGCTCAGGCCAGGATACCAGTGACGTGGGTGGGACCATCTCCGCACCACACTCCTGCCTAATTCACCGCCATTAGCACGTGACATGAATTCAAATTTGCCGCCTATCGTAACTGATCGTAGTCGTACGTCAACGGGCCGCGCCGCATTAGCAACCTTGATTTGGAATACATCTCACTTATTCCTTGCACACACCTACTGAGCGGCTGCGCACAGTGTTTGCAGGAGCGGTGTGTGGTGGTGAGCGGCGTCTGTGTGTGGTACAGGGCGCGTACGTGTATGGGAGACTACGCGTGGTTTGAATGGGGACTGCATGTGGTAGCGCACCAGCCGTAAATGATGTCTACGACGGTTACGTGTGGGTGTGTGGTACATAATTGGTACCACACAGTACAATCGATTCATTGTACTTTCATTTGGCGGCTGTGCCGTATTTCATTTTGCTAGCAAATTCACCTGGAAAAGAGGATCTGGAGAAGCTCTGGATTTACGTGAGAAAAACATGTGT